CTTTAACTATTCTAAAACTTAGGGGTGACTTTGCTTACCATATTTCGTTGTTTATTCGTAGTGTTTCACCAATAGGATGATCAAATATTTTTTTCTGTTTATTCAGTAGGCATGGATACCTTAACCTTGTTTATACTGAAAAAGTCAGCCACACGATGCAGAGCAATATCATACATTTTACTAGAACGGCAAAATATTAAGCGCACAGAATAGCAGTATCATATAGCACGGGCTAAATTAAAGTGAACACTTTACAGCATAACGCCATGAAATGTACAACCACAACAAATTACTGTTCTCAACTATGCTGAACTAAATAATGCCAGGCGTAACAGCACAATAATTTGGGACAAAGACTTCGTGTTTGCTGAACTAACACATATTAGGGGATGCTCTAGAATAGCAAATTAGCACAAAGTAATGTTGTTGTACATTTGCTTTCGTTTAAAACGGTAAGTAGGAGGAATTCGTAAAGTAGCCTCACCGAAAGCTGAATGAGGATTGTTTTGCAATTGTACAAATACATCCTCGGTTAACTGTGCTACAACCCTTTTTAATCCGAACTGATCCTTAGTCTGTCATGTAGCGGATATCGTCAGATTCAGAAGCTATGATTTGTGAAATTTTTATAAAAACATTAAACTAAGACGGCAAGGCTAATGTCTCGGTGAATTTGTATTAAATCACATTTATGACATGGCAGACGAAAAACTAGTACGAATTCAAATTTTTCTTGGAAGAGTGGACTGGACAATTATTTGCACAACTCTACGGACACAACTTCAAGGCAATCCTGCTTTAGCTTTTGGTTAGGCTAGTTTACGAACATCTCCTACTCTCCGCTTCGAACGAAATGAAAGGTACAGCAATATTACTTTATTAAGTGACTCTTATAAACTCAATTTATCTACATATTCGTCAAAAAGTGAGTCCTCTAGATCGAAATAGGATGGCCTAATGAAAATCCGGCTCCACATCTGAGCTCAATGGGTCTATTTGGACCCGATTTGCTTGAGAGGGCGGTGGATATTGGTGATGTGAAACTGGATAGACTGAAAATTGACATCAAGATTGCTCTCATTCGTATTGCTCACACTCAGTACAAGGGGTTCTTAGATCGTTTATACCAGAATGCGATTGACTTCTTGAATTTGTACACCTTTATCGTGAACTCTGCAATCGGAAGAATTTTATGCCCCAATTAAAGATCAGGTTGGTAACCTCTGAAATACGAATGTTACCACAAAAAGTGTAAGATAAAAATCATGTTTTTCCCGAAGAACTCGTCGAAAACCACTTTCTCAACCTTCTTGTGATTTTAGCGTTTGAGAAAATCCCTCATCGAATAGCCAACATTGGTGATTTTTGTCATGGAAACTGCAATAATAAAGATTGTTTTTGCATTATTCTCATAGTCCTTTTTCATGATGATACCTAAAAGAAGTGTCCCTCAAGTTTAAAATAATAGTTGGTTTATCGGAAGCAGATTTTATTTATTTAATTTTAATATTTTCAAAAATACAACAATAAACAACAAAATCGGTTGATGTAATAAAACAGATGGCATCACGCTGAGAGGGTAAATGAAAAAGTTCAACCTAAATAGTAGAATTTCCATTCGTTTAAATTCTATTCACAAAGGGACAAATCAACATTCTGTCATGTTATTCTAGCCTACACCATACGCTCTTAATCCAAACACTAGAACAAACTTTTCTATTTTGGGAGGCTCTTCAAGGCGACGTTATACAACGGATATAGAGGAAGGCAATACAGATGAGCATCGATATTCAACGCTTCACAATTGTATTGCACACATTACATACGATATGAAGAATGAAAGAAGAATATATCTTTCATTCATTTTCATTGAATAATATTTTGCGATCTTAAAATTAGTAAAATTCAATTGAAGGCAACTGGCAGCACCCCGTAAAGTACAAATATAATTACATCATAATCTCATAAAGCATACACAACATAGCTCATTTGAAGACAAGGGAGTGAGATAAAATAAAATATGATAGATAATAAGTTGTTAAAATAAAAAAATCATAAAAATAATATCACTTATCCCTCCCTAACCTCTTAATAATAAATAAATATATACAGATAGGTTGCGATTAATACGGGTTCAAATGGTGCGAAATTAGGCTTTTTACGATTTATAAATGGACACGTCATTAATGATCGTATTAATGCTTGTAATGCCATACAGTAAAGTCCATTTGAAACATTATTTAGCATTATTGGTGCAAAAGTGAATACTGGAGGCGAAAATATAATGAAATGGTGATAACATTAAAAAAAAATTTGATGCAACAAGAGGATACCAAATTAGTGATAGGCATTAAAAACTTGGCGCAGACGTCAGTGGGGAATATTTTAAAGCAAGCAGTTGAAATAAATAAATAGAATAAAGCGGCTTCAAATTGATGAGTTTTAAAAGCCATCTCTAGGCAGAGAAGTAGTATGATTATATGTTTGTGTGAGGATAAAAAAGTAATATTTTTACCAGTAAACACGACAGCCCATTTAAAGCATACTACTTGAAAAGAACTTTTGAACAGACGATTACTCAAGCAACAGGTGAAGCCGTTTTCTATACTTTATTGCGCTGCTTACACATAATCTTGGTCTACAATACTTTTTGATTATCCTTAGCCTGAAAAAATATTACATCATTTACAATTGTTTATAAATTTTTTCAATAAGATGTAACTAATTGCATTAATTTATGTGTTATGATCACATCGAATAGTTGGGCATATTCACGGGGCGAATTGCCCGTACTAATCGCGACCATCCTGTAACACTAATAGTATTAGTCTAATGATAAAAGATAACTTTATGCATAATAATAATTTTTTTTTGAAAAAACACTCTCATAACTTGATGAATTGGTATTCGATCAACTCACCACCACGATCCCATAGTTGCAAACGCTCCAGCAACCTGATAATCCTGACTCAGGCACATGAGGAACACGATGACACGGAGCCATTTGGCTTGAAAGTGACGCAGATAGTTTATCCAGAGCATGGGCCCCTTCCGAGGGGAGCTGGGAAGACACATTTAGACGAAAGCCGACTAAATTCCCAGAGTGAGAAGTGAAATCCTCAAATGTGATAAGCAGCTTGGAGGCTGAACTAAATCGCAGGCGATTAGCAGAAGAAGGAGCCAGTGGAGGTTGGCGGATCAGAATTTTGGCCTACTTCAACTGGCAGACCAGACAGTTGTGTCTTTTTCTACAGTCTGAAGGAGACGTCAAAAGACGATCAGACACTTCTTTGATGTGAACATTAACCACTGCCACCGGTTGAATAACTGGGCAAAAGAGACAACAAACTACAGAATTCAAACACTGCCAGACCAAATGACAGCAGAATGAGGAAGAGTAGGACAATCCGTAAGACTTGTGCACAAATGTACAGGAAACAAGAACCTTCGTCTAGACCCCACCCTTGCCCACCTCACCACCAACACCAGCCAGTTTCGGTATATGGGCCTGGCCGGCAAGGCCCAACACAGTAGGCCAAGAACAACAGGACCTAGGCGAAAGCTGATTGGCGGATCATTGACTATACCCACAAATGCCATTCTGACCAATCAGACGCTTCACAGGACAGTTCATGTAGCCAGTAAGACGTTGGGTTGTAGGCCTATAGGCCAGAACACAGCTTTGCGCAAATAAACCGGGACGCTTATCATCGAGTCCATTGCTAAGACATAGCAAATCCTAATTATCGAAATGTAGAAATAGGCAACAGACGAGGGCCTCTGTAGCTTGTAAAGCATGAAAAAAGGGAACAAAACCAAATGGAAAATACAAGTTACGTTTTTCTCTTTTATAACCACGTCCCATATACAAGTTTGGTTTACTAAGAGGCTAATAGTTTAGACGTATGAGGTGTGTTCATCACCTTTCATGTTGGTTGAAAGGGAATTATAATTGATTTTTCCCACAATGATTTGAGTGAGCATAACGTTTCCTCTCAATTTCACACAGCCTTGCCTCCTACAAGGTATTCTCATTCAGGATGGACTGCAGTTTCGACTTGGTATAGGCTTCATCACCAACCCCAGTGGGACTCAGACCTCGAC